GTGCGTGCCCAAGATCCCGAGAGGAGAATGGAGGAGAAGGGATTGTGGCGTGGCTATCCCCTCTGGGGGGTGATTTCTCAGTTTCTGTCTCTCTGTCTCTTCAGTGAGTGCATGCTTCCTATAGTAAAAATCTCTCTCCCCTCCCCCCAAAAAAAGAAAAAGAAAAAGGTGCCATCTCAGCCCCAAAGTGGACCCTTAGCAGACAGCGAACCTACCGGTGCCTTGACTGGGGACTTACGGGCTTCAGGGCTGTGAGGAATGAGCTTGCTGTCCACGAGCTGCCCACTCTATGGCACGGTGGTGGAGTGGCCGAAGGGACTAAGACAACGGTGCAGCTCTGTACCACACGGACCCTCGCACTCGGAGGGGACCCCGGCTTGGAGTTTAATAGTCTGTGTCTGCCATCGCGAAGTTCTTGATAATTTATATTTAAAAGATTTTTTTTAATTTAAAAATTAAAAATTTAATTTTATTTATTCATTCATTTACTTCTTAAAAAATTATTTTATTTAACTTTATTTATTTATTTATTTTTTAATTTGACCTGAGAAAGGCACACACACACACATAGAAGGAAAGTGAGAAAGCAAGCCACCAGGTCTGGGACTCAAACCATGGTCGGCCATGTGGAAATGTCCAGCTCCTTAACTGCCATGCCACCTCCCCAGTAACTTACCTTTGAATCTGTGCTTTGTTCATGGACCCTCAAGGGACAGTGGTGCATATGGCAAGGACCAAGAGACTGGGCTCGCACGCGGCCATGCCCCCGGCTGCCTTCATACCTCCCCTCGCTGGATTCCTGCCCCACCCGACACCCGCCAACCGCTGCCATCTCCCATCCGGGGTGAGGGCCTGGTGTGGGGAGTGCCGAGCTGCAGAGCAGGGCCTCAGAGTCTGCGAGTACCCCTGCGCCCACAGGACCGTGTCGTCAAAGAGCAGACGGAACTAGCAAGACAAGAGAAGGCTGGCCTCATGGCCCAGTGGCGATGGGGTCCGGGTCCCACGTGGCCTGCTGCCGTTGACACCCCAGCCCCGGTGGCTGGAAAACATGCCGGGCGTGTGTGCTCCGAATCCTGGCGGGACGGAGAGCTGAGGGAGATGGGACCCTGGCGTGACCGTGCCCATTGGGAGGCAGTGCTTCCTCCCTCCCTGTCTCTGCCTCAATCCGGCAAGCTCACGCACTCTCTGACAATTAAAAACAAAACAAAAGAGAGGCTACAGTCAAAGAGAAACGTCCCCTGCCCCGTTTTATGAACAAGGGGTTCATATCCCATTTTGTGCTGGGACCCACAAGTCAGGTAGCCAGTCCTGAATTTAAAGAACGACCTTCAACACCCACATTCATCCGGGGACTAAGCAGGGGTGAAGAGCTTCATTCAGATGTCATACCTCTCTTTACTGGGCCACGTGTCACCCCAAAATTCGTATACCGGAGAGCCAGCCCCTCAACGTGGCGGTGTATGGAGGTGGCGAGTTGGGGGGTGATTAGATCGCGAGGGTGGAGCCCCCATGAACGGGTTAGTGGCCTGATGCAACCGGCCCCGGGGAGCTCCCTCCTCCACTTCCTGTCCCTGAAGATTGAGCAAGAAGGCAGTGTCTGCTGTCGGGGAGGGAGGCCTCGCCAGACGCCGAGTCTGCAGCGCCTTGATGCTGGACTTCCGGCCCCCAGACCCGAGAGAAGGGCATCTTGGCTGTTTGTGAGCCACCTGGTCTACGCTGCTTTGCTGTAGAAGCTCGAAGGGACCAAGGTTCTCTGTCCTTGCCCCCCACGCCCTCGTGGACCAGGAGGAGTTGAGATGACGGCCCAGGGCGTCCGCCTCCTGAACGGCTGCCTTAGAAGCCACTGGGCCCTCCTGTTCTCACAAGTGAAGTTTCATTCACATACGGCCACACCTATTGTTTCCAGGCCCACCTGCTGCTCTCTGGCTCCAGCCGCAGAGTCAGAGACTGTAGTCCACAAGGCGAAGGTCTTACTCCCCGGTCCTTCCCAGAAGTCTACTGCCTCTGGCCGAGGAGTGACATCTGGGTTGTAGATCTGGGTCTGCCGTGGGTAGCTCTGCAACTTTAGGAGGATAACCCCTTCGTTCTCTGACCTGGGACTTCGTCCTCTATCACCAAAGATGTGACCGGGATGACATTCCCAACCTCCTTTGCTTTCTCTCTGTGGTTCTGTAAACCTCTAGTGCTATCCCATCGGCACTCTCTGGGCAGCAGTCACTAAGTCACACCCTCTCTGGCTATTTCTGGTCATGTGGGCATGCCTTAGCCAACGATAAGACTCGGAGGTTTTCTTCGTGAATCATTGTAGTGATTGTGTATGAGTGGGCTTCCAAAGGTTTCTCTTGGTGCAAAAATTTTTTTCATGATATGCATTTTCTATGAACTTTTTAAAAAATGAATTATTTATTTATTTGTTGTTCTTCTTCAATCTGACCAGAGACAGAGAAAGAGTGCGAGAGCAAGCTGCAAGGTCCGGGACTCAAAACCACAGCCAACCATGTGGGAGTCCAGTGCCTTAACCACCACGCTACCTGCTGGCCCTGTCGGTGAACTTTTAGAAAACCTCCTCGCACGTAGGAATTTCACCTCGCCACTGTTCGTCCTGAAGGACAGCTTATGAATGACAGGAAGGATAGATGTGTGATTCTCCCACCTCTATTGAACACCTCCGTGGCTGGTCTCCCTGGCATCTCCCGAAGGCAGTCACTGACGGACATTTCCTAAATGGATCCAGCTAGATCCCCTCCCCTACCTCCCGGGCTGGAGTCTGCAAAGCTACAAGCCCGGGATTGTCACTGTCAGTCACAGACTCACAGGGACAGATGGTCTGAATAATAATGACACAGAAATAGAAACGGATGAGAGACGTAAGGACGAGTGCGGATGGTATGCCAGTGCGCGGACGCAGGTTCCCAAGGACACCGCTGGCTGCTTTTCTTTGGTTTGGTTACATGACGTAAGTCTTCCCTTCCATCCTCCTTTCCTTCTTTTCCATGTCTTCCTTCCTTCTCTCCTAACCCCTGCATTGTTTTTGTTGAAGTTTTTTCTTTTTTGTCATTTCCATCAAGTACTCTAAACTAAGGTAATAAAGGAGGGGATTCTAGAAAAGATTGAAAATCCATTTGAGAGAAAAAGAGTCTTTCAGGAATGTATACTGGGACGACTGGGTATCCCTACGGAAGAATTAGAACTCTACCTTGCACCTTCGGCAGAGGTTAATTTCAGGTGCAGTAAAACGTGACGATACAAACGTGTTTACAGAGCGTGTCGGAGAACACTGCTCTCACACAACGCTAGTCAGGACACTAAGAAACCCTGAAACGCAGGGCAACGGGGCAGTCGTCTGACGAACTCGACTATCTTTTGCTTTTCATTTTATGCCATAGGCACATGCAGTTGCCAGATCCAGAGGGAAGGGAAGGGGGAAACCGCCCCCCAGGGGATGGCCACACAACCCCTGCTCCTCCCTTCTCCTCTCGCGATCTTGGGCACTCACACATCTGTGCCTGGGGTGACTTTTCCAGCTGCTGGATCCAGGACTCGAACCGCTGTCAGCCATGTGGGAGTATAAAGCCTTAACTGCCAGACCACCTGCTGGACCCAGATAGCACATATTTCGATCAGCAAAATTTAGAAAGTTTAATACATTTATATATTGGCAAGTGTGTGGGAAACTGGACACTTATGACAATGAAGACTTCAGGTAAACCCACTGAGTTATGCATCTGCTCCTCCTAGGTAAGAAAACGTGCACATTCTAGGAGCCAGATTTACTCCTAAATACATACCCCATGGACCAGCAGATGGCGTAAGGGTATTGTTGTTGGACTCTCACATAGTTGACCATGGTTTGAGTCCTAGACCTGGCAGCTTAAAACTCACTCTCCTCCCTCGAGGAGAAGGGATTGCGGCGTGGCCATTCCCCCTGGGGGTAGGGGTGTTTCTTGCTGTCTCTCTGTTTCTCCGGGAAGCACAAGCATCCTATAGCAGAAACCTCTCTCTCAAAAAACAAAAACAAAAACCTATAAAAAGTAATTTATTGAGATGTAATTCACATACCATAAAATCCACCTTCTAGAATGTACAATCCAGCGCTTTTTAGTACATTCACAAAACTGTAAAACCATCACCATCATCGAATTCCACCTTTCTTCACCCAAAGAGAAACCCCTGCGCATTGGCTGTCATTGGTCATCACACCCTTCGCCCAGCCGCCCTTTTGCAATCGCCAGAAGGCATGCACACTTGCCGGAGAGAGACAGAGACAGAGAGAGATGGAGAAGAGAGAGCGAGGTTACCCCCAATGGGTCACGTTCACCGGCAATCCCCTCTCCTCTGTTTCTCCATCCCGCCAGAATTTGGGGCGAGCGCCCAGCGTGTTTCTCGACCACCAGGCAAAAAAGAGAGAAATTTAATTTTAAAAAATGTATTCGGCAATTATTTATTGAACTCACTGCATGGGAAGCACTGTTATGAGTACGTGGGATACGTCCCGAAGGAGACGGGCGGAGTTCTCTCTTCTCACGGACTCTGAGTGGTTCGCGTCCTGAGTCAGGGAGCGGATCGCGGCCCCTCCCCTCCGCGCCCACACTGCTCCTTTCAGACACTCTTCAGAAATGATCGACGCGTTTGCTGCAGACTCGAAGCTCGTCTCTCTCTCTTCACAGTGGAACGCGCTCGGCTTCCACTCAAGGGCCGCTGGACTGTGGCTAAGCGTTGACGTTTTCCATGTGCCTCGTTACCTCTGCGGCGGCATGGCCTCTGCTAACGCCCATGTGTAAATTGCACTGTGTCCAGCCTTTTGGTAAAAGTCATCGAACTGAACGCAGTCACTTTAAGCCTTTTCTTTTCGCTGGTACTTCCTGGAGGTGACCAATAGCTATTTGCCCGGTGGCTTTTGGTAACTGTTGGCTACTTCTCTGAGCTTCTAGGAGAAATGTGAGGTAGAGACCGTGCGGCGAGGTTCCTGGGCGTGGATAATCCGTAAGAAGTTGGATTTCTGAGAGATGAGAAGTAATTCTACTGCGATGCATTAGGAGGGCCAGACGCGAGCCGCGTGGATTTCCATTCCCCCCACCTCAACCCCAACCCTCCCTCCTCCACGTCACCTCTCTTCTTCCTGCACTTCCAGTGTCGCACTTAGCGCGGTCCCAGGGGCTCTTCCGGTGGTGCGCTGGCGTGGAGCTGGGCGCGTGTCACTCCCTGGGGAGCTTCGGGCTGTAGAGGCGGAAACAGAGGCATTGAGAGCCTGGCCGTCCCGCGGCAGCCACCGGCCCTCCTATTCACATTTCAGCTCATTTAAATGATTCAGTATGTCCCTAAGACTTCACTCCTTCTGAGACAGAATGTGAGAGGCACCAACGGAGTCTTCATGCCACCATCCATCCGGCCTCGGCCACGCAGGATCACGGACACACAGGCACACGCCGTGCGCACCGCCAGCCCTCAGGGTGCGAGCACGGGGCCTCCCGCACGGCCAGCACCGCGCCGTGTGTGACACCCCACCCCAACGCTGCCGGCCCTGGATTAAGCTTAAAACTCAGGTCCTCGGGACTGCAGAGGACGTAATGGCTTTGTCACTGGACTCCCATGTAGTTGACTGCAGTTAGAGTCCTGGACCCGGTGGCTTAAAACTCACACCAAGCGCGCGTGTGTGCATGCCCAAAATCCCGAGAGGAGAAGGGAGAAGGGACTGCTGCATGGCCATCTCCTCGGGGGGTGACTTCTTACTTTCTGGTGAGTGCATGTGCCCTATGGAAAAAATCTCTCTAAAGAAAAAAAAAATTCAGGTCCTCAGCCACACGGGATACATTTCAAACGCGTCATGGCCACATGGTGGGAGGTGGTTGTTGCATCAGGTAGAGGGAGAGCACTTTTATCTCTGCAAAAGTTCCCTCGGAGAGCAGCATTCCAGAGGGACTGCGTGTCAGGGAGGGAGGGTTTTGACCGTAATATCAAAAAAACCCCACAGTAACAACAGTTAGAGCAGTGCACATGCAAATGAGCGCAAGTGTGTGGTTTGAGAGCAATGCTTACCATCTTCTAAGTGCCGATTCTGTAACACTGTGCTCCTTATAGTAATGTTAGCAACAGTTTCCTAATCAATGCTGTAAGTTGAGGGGCCAGCAGATGGTGTCATGGTTACGTTGCTGGACTCCCACACGGTCAACTGCAGTTCTAGTGCTGGACCTGGCAGTTTCAAACTCATGCCAGGCACATGTGCATGTCCAAGATCCCGAGAGGACAATGGAGGAGGAGGGATTGTGGCGTGGCCAATTCTCCCGGGGAGTGATTTCTTGCTTTCTGTCTCTCTCTGTCTCTCTGTGAGTGCATGCGCCCTATAGCAAAAATTTATTTCTCTCTCTAAAAAAAAAAACTCCATAAGTTGAATATATAAAATAAAATAAAACAGATGAAAGATGTAGTCATCAAGGACCAAGGGAGGGAGAAAAGGGGAGGTGCTGGGCAAAGAATGTAACATTTTAGTTACATGGGGCCAGCGGGTGGAGTAGTGGTTAAAGTGCAGGACTCTCACAGGACTGACCCTGGTTTGAGTCTCAGGCCTGGCGACTTGCTTTCTCGCTTTCCTTCTCTGTCTTTCTGTCTCTCTCTGGTGAGCACACGTGCCCTGTAGCAAACTTAAAAATAATAATAATAATAGTAAATACAATGAAATGATAGCATTGGTTAGTTCAGAGGATGGTTAGGCCAGGAGCAGACGTGAGCAGTCCTCGGTGGTGAGCCTTGGAGAGTTCCTGTGGGGAGCACTCACCAGCACTGGCAGCCTTTCCAGCTCGGGGGAGTCTGCAAACGAGAGGGGGACAAGTCAGCTCCCGGGGCCTGAGCGAGGATGCAGTCCTGCTAAGGCTGAGGTGACGGGTGACTGAAC